CCCTCTCTCTCTCTACTCTTTACAGTTTATAGAGTAATTTACTAGCAGAGATTTTACTTAGATCACTGCCGCAGTACATGGATCTATGAACTGTACTCTGGAACCAGCTGCATTATTGTTGCTGTTGAGCTAGGGTTTACTGATTACCGTGCTGGATTTAGAATTCGAAGCTTAAAACGATATGAAATCTTGCGGACAAGTGAATGGAGGGTTTTTTTGGGAAGTGCTTAGTGGAAGGTTTTTGTTCTGAGAACAATGCATGTGAATTGCCTTACGGAGAGAGAAGATGCTTCTTTTTCTTCTTCATCTGCTCACTCTGCTTCCTACTAATTTCGGTAATATTTGGTTTTTATTTCTTTTTTCTGCTCTCTGCTTCCTACTAATTATGATGGTTTTATGTATTGGTGGTTATAGAGAATCTGGGGACTCAAAAAGAAAAGAAAAATAGAAGGAAAAAGAAATGATTATGCTTGCCGACTCTGATTGCAATGTTAACTATTAAAATCGATAGGTTCACTGTACTGTGTAGATTTTCCTTTTGAATTAATAAAATTGCCTCTTTGAAGAGTTTGTTGGAGTCGAGTCTTTGTTATTAAAGCCAAAAATATGGTATCAAGTTGACTTTAAATCAAATAAAGCACTAGCAATTCCTTCTTAGCTTAGAAGACGAGGAGTGAATCTTGTTATAACCTTTCTGCATTTAAAATCCATTAGAAAGTTATAAGCACAGTCACATACATACTGACTGACACTGTTCTTCTAGTAATGTAATCTACTTGTATGTAATAAAACTGGTGCTACCTGAAAGTAAGTCAGTTTCCCACATACTTATATTTCAAACGAATGGACAAACAGTCTAATTATTTTCTTGAGAACCTGTTCACAAACAATGTCAGATGGCTGGTTGGGTAAGATTCGCGTGCAAGTTGCAACCAGTAGTAAATGATCCCGTCCAGCTTCCTCAGATCAGTTTTGTCATAGATTCATAGTCTTTTGCAAGCTCGAGTATTTTCTGTACTCTTCTTCTGAATTTATACTGGATAATTTATATGATCTACAGGGACCCATTTACGGCAAATCTACCTATCTCCGTCTCAGTTGCCAAGCTTACCATCTTCTGCAAGGAAAAATTCTCTAGAACACGGTAAACTAGCAAACTCCCCAACTTCTTTTTGTTGGAGTGGAAGCTGTTTTCTCCTTGCATTTGTTTTCTTACTCCATTTGCTTTTCATTTTTATTGGATTGAGATACGGTGTAAATCAGTGCTTCAGGCTGAATCTGAATCAGCTATGTACTCAGGTACATCATCTGATTCCTTGCTTCGTGTTCCCTCGGTCTTAAGCATTTCATCCCATATGTTTTGTAGTGTCCGCAGCAAGCATAACTTCAATGAGTGCATCATTTGCTCCATTTGTAGCAAAGCAGAGGCGGTGGTCTAAGCCTTCTTTGTATTCCTCTGCTGCACCTGCTCTTTCTCCAGCATCTCAAGGTATCCAATATTCTCAAAATCACATCTATTTTATTTTAAACTAATAATGTCAAACTCGTTATATTAGGTGAACTTCCTAGTCCTGCTGGTAGTACCTTGCCAAGGCATCACCACCATGCTCATCGTGTGAAAACTCCTGTGATTTCTCCATCTCCTTCTGCTACACCTGGTAAATGTTCAGTCAATGACATCTTTCTCACCCTCACTCCAATGTCGGAGATTGGAAATAGATTTACATTCTAGGGAGCCTGAATCTGTAGCCAGTGGGAAGGCTGACGAGAAAGGGTTTATCTAAATCTAATTTCCTCGGGGACGTGAATTTCAAGTAATCTTTTGATACAAATGCAAAATGGAAAACTATCCATTGATGTTATTTTTGGTATAATAGAAGTTACAAGCTGCGAAAGACAACTCAACTGCCACAATATTCCTGAGTCCTGAGCATCTTACGAAGATATTGACTAGTACTTGTGCTCTAAGATCCCAATTTTTTTATTTGCTAAACAAAACAAATGTTAGACTACTTAATACCACACAAGCTCCATTTTATTAATATTACCTGCTAGACTGTGTCTTTTGCTTGTTATTTACGATTTTATATTGTTCATCTCAACAGAAGTCAACCTCTTGAATATTACCTTTTGC